CACCCCACGCCCCGCTCCGCCATGCAGTTCGTTGGGTCACCCCTGGGCGAGACTTGAGCACAGGACGGCGCCAATTCGTTCGGAGGATCGCGCACACGGTTGGGCAACATGGGAGTTCCTGAAGACACGATTATCAACCTCACCCGGGTGGAAGAAATCCTTTGGACAACGTCCACACGCATGCATCCAATCTGCGAGAGTGCTCGGATGAAAATCACACGGTCTTCGCCGAATCTCGACAAACGACCACCAGAGAGTACGAGAGAAGCCCTGCTCCCGCGAAGCGAACACCACGTCCCGAAGCCTCAATGGACAGGCGGGCGAACACTTGGAGGTTCTCGGCGTGATTTACAGCGTGATCCGCATGAAGCTCCAAGCGTCAAGTGGCCCAAACGCCTTCAATCCCAGATGGCCCTCATGAGTCCCAGCAGCTGAAGCAGCGGACCCTGAGATCCGACGTTCTGTAAAGGCAACGGAAATGGCGACTGGAGCCCTAGGCTCTATACGCACGGTCATGGGGGTCGGGGTGTTGTTTTCTCCCTCGGCCGAAATCAAGCGAAACCGCTGGGTGTGACAAACTTGCATCGCCCGGATCTCAAGAAATATTGCGGCGGCAACAGCCGCGGCGAAGGCCGCCATAACGACCGCGACATCAGCAAGGGAATGCATGGCGACAACAAAACCACCGAACTGACAGACAACGAAATCGAAACCGACCGAAATCGAGAGGCCAAGAGCAACCTATCAGGGCAGCAACGACACCATGACCGGCGATCGAACCGACCGAACCGCGAACACCCTTGATCAGGATACCTGACATCCGCCGATCTGTCACTTTCATCCCGCGGCCCTCAGGAGCTTCAGACCGCTCCCTGGAGGGAGCGTCATGCGCCCGGGTGCCCTGGCCAGTGAGGGGCAACGTCAGGGGGTGACCGGCTCGGGGGGAAGCATCGATCTGCCATCGGCGATTCATCGCCAGTAGATTTATGTCGGGCGTGTCCCCCTACAGGGGGAATTTGGTTGGAAAATCAAAAATACCCCAAAAATGCGCCAAGGAGGTCAAACAATACTCAAAAACTAATCCCCAGACTATTGTTTGACTATTTATGTTTTTTACTATTTCTTTGGTCTTTTCTTAATTTTCTTCGAAAACACCCCTGTAGGGGGACAGGCCCGACCTAACAGTAGAGCGGCGATCGCCGCTTGAACATATGATCTCGTACGAGATCTGCGACGACGACCGCGAGAGGGGGATCCCGACGGCGGCGAGGGGCGTCCCCGCCTGGGCGCGGGGATCTACAGCGTGTCCTCGGGCAGGTTGGTGCCGCCGCCGATGAGCTCCCGCGCCTCCGCTGGCGGCACCGCGCTCGGGTGGACCCCTCGAGCACCTCCCAGCGCGGTGGCCGTGCTCTCCCGACGTCCGGGCGGTGCCACCTCTGCACGCCGGGCGCGCTCGCCGAGTCTCGGGCCTCCAGGGCCACCCTGAGCCGATGCAGCTCGAAAAAAAAGAGCCGCGGCGAGCCTGGGTCTGGGGCTCCGGGCGTGACGCGTCGCAAAGTTACAGCTTGTTCGCAGCGCCAGACCTCCGGGTCTCAGCAGGAAGGGGGCGGGTGCTGGGCCTGGAAGAGGTCCCGGGGGCCTGTCGGTCCGTCTGCGGGCCTCCAGGGCCTTCTTTCACACGGGCCCCGGTGCCGTCAGAAGGAGCCTGTTCTTCTTCAGATCCAGGCGAGTTTACTTGCATGGCGGTCGCCCCTCTCCCCACCCCCCCTCTTGCCCCTCTTCAATCGAATACGGACGTGCAAGTGCCTTTCGACTTGCGTGATTGACCCTGGGCCTAGGTCCTTAGGAGGCGACGCCTGGGAGGCCTCCCTGGGCTGTTGAGCCGGATGAGGGGCCAGGGCCACGCACCTGTTCGAAAGCTCCTCTAAATTCCCGGCAGAAGCTCTCCTGCTCTCAGGGGGTCCCAGGGAGATCCCCTCTCGGAAGAGCGTGGTGCTCGCCGAGCACTTGCGCGCCTGGGCCGGTGCCAAGAACAAGGGCATACAAGGTTGCAAACAGCCAGTAGAAAGAGGCAAATAGCGTGCCAAGAAGAAACAAATGCTCCCTGCAAGCGTCATCCTGCAATGTCAGGCCTTGGTCCGACAAATCCCGCAACCAAGCCTGGCCAGCCCAATTGGCAAAGTCCTGGGCCCGGCCAACTCAAACTTTGACAAGGTCCTCCAATACACTCACCGTGCTGAACTGGCAACGCTGAGCGAGGAACGAGAGGGGCGTTCTGGCCGCGGCGAGCCTCGGCCGTGAAAAGGCGCGCCCTGATCTGCATCTGGGGAGCGGCCCAGCAACCACCGCCCCTGCTGACTTCAAGGTGACCTCTACGGTCGGGAACTTTTGGACAGCGTGTCGCGGTGGCGGCCCCAGCGCCACGCTATGCCTTACGAGCGGATAGCGTGTCGCCCCGCCCCGCGGGGCGGGAATATGGGAAAAGCTCGGGACGTCAACGCTGGGGGAAAAAGGAGTGGATAGCGTGTCGCGCCGAAGCGTGGTGGGCCAGAAGCTGGCGGAGCGAGACGCCAAGCCCAAGTTCATGACCATATTTCCAGCCCCTCGTTTGTCTGTACACAGTCGGGCCGCCGATTCACAGCGCGTCCCAGACAATTCGGGCTCCTCCCTCGATGCGCGCCTCGCCAATCCAGAGCCAGGCCACCTCGGTCTGCCGGAGCAGCAACCTGAGGGGCAGCCGCTTCACCATGCCGCCTGCCTCCTGCACGGGGGGGGGATTTGGAAATCGTCCTCCTCCTCGTTCTTCCCCTCCTTTTTCTTCTCCGCCCTCCTCCATCGTTTCCTTTGCCTCCCTCCCCCCCCTCCTGTTCCTCCCCCCTCGTTTTCCCCTCCTTCCCTTTCCCCTTCCCCATCCCCCTCCTGCTCCCCTTCCCCGTCCCCGTCCCGTTTTTTGACACCTCATCGTCCTCCCCATCCGTGGTGTGGAGTGAAGCGGCGCATGCGTCGTTCCATGTCGCACGTACGCACTTTTTCACAGCTGGCGACGCAGAGGGTCCTCAAGCACGAGCAGCGGATGAAAGTGCGAATTGCGATCGAGCAGCGTCGAAGGCGCAGCGTACACAGCGTCGCACACAGCAAAATGCAAGCGATGGGTGTTTCAGAAAGCTGTAAGTTCATACCGAACATGCAGCGGTCAGAAAGTATGCTACTCAAATCAGAGCGTTTTGAAGCGCGACAACCATGGGCGAATTGAGGCCACTGAGTCGCCACAGCGGTGTTCGACGGTGAAGCGCAAGGAAATATGTTGGTAGGCAATCTGGTTGTGTCCGACCCAGTGGTCCTGCGAAGCCGATTAGTCAGGTGTGCACCTACAAATCAGAAGCGCCAAGAGATCGCTATGATGGGTGAAATAGAGCCACCGGTGTGGCCACGCCATCCTGGAAACGCGCCCGGCGGCCCGCGGGCGGTTGGTGGTCTATGGCAGAAATGCAGCGGGCCACGGCGGAAGTGGCGCTCCCCTTCTTTCGCATTGCGCATGACATGGGGCGGAGCGCGCTGCCCAGGCACTCATTCCTCGCGAGGCCCCCCCAGAGCATTTGGACAATTTTTACGGTGCCGAAATGAACTCCCCGACTCGCCGACTCCCCGACTGGCCGACTGGCCGACTCCCCGATTGGCCGACTGGCCGACTCCCTGATTGGCCAATTGGCCGACTGGCCGACTCCCCGACTGGCCGACTCCCTGACCGGCCGACTCCCCGACAAGCCGACTGGCCGACTGGCCGACTCTCCGACTGCCCGACTGACCGACTGGCCGACTCCCCGGCTGGCCGAGTGGCCGACTGGCCGACTGGCCGACTCCCCGACTGGCCGGCTGGCCGACAGGCCGACTGGCCGACTGGCCGACTCTGGCCGACTGGCGACTCTGGCCGACTCCCCGAATGGCCGAATGGCCGACTGGCCGACTCCCCGACTGGCCGACTGGCCGACTCCCCGACTGGCCGACTGGCCGACTCCCCGACTGGCCGACTCCCCGAGTGGCAGACTCCCCGACTGACTGGCCGACTGGCCGACTCTCTGGCTTCCCGATGAGGAGTCGGTAAGTTCATTTCGGCACTTCAAAAATTGTCCTACTCCCCCGGAGAGCCCAGCAACCTGTGCAGCCCGCCGTCGCAGCGAGGCCGCAGTTGACACATGGCCCCGCAACTATTCTACGAGCAGCTTCATTCAGGAACTGCGCCCATCTGACATGCGCAACCTCTTTGGCAATGGCCCACTGCGCCACGCCGCGCGAAGACATGGCGCGGATAGGCGGGCGGGCCCAGAGAAGCCGCTCACAAGCAACACACATGGATGCGCCTACAAAACACTTCGCACATAACGGAGCCTGCTGCTTTGGCAGCCATAGCTCAGAAGGGGAACAGATCAGCGGCGCAAAAGCGTAGTTCCCAGAATCGACCGGCGCTGCCATGGAGTCAACCGCCTGCCCGTCCACCCAGGCTGCCCTCAGACATTTCGGCGCCGCAAAGCGCGAACGGTCGCATCAGCCAGCGATGGTGCCTGGCCTCATCTGAAACGTTGGAAGGGCCATGGGCAGGCGCTGAGTTGGCGCGCCTGTAGGTCCAGAGCGCCTGGGGCTGAAGCCTGAAATCGGTGACCTGCGGCGGTCCCAACTGGGCTGGCTTCGATTGGCGCGGCGCGGGGTTCTGCCCCGGTCGCGTCGATCCCTTTGTCGCCAAGGGGCAGCCGCTTGAACCGCGCCCGCGGGGCCATGCTCCGCGCGCGCCCGCGGCCGGGCGGCCAGAAGGCAAGCTCGTAGCTGATCTGAGTTGAGCAGAGAGGAATCCTTGGCCGCCGCGGCACATCTGCTCGATCTGACGGCCGCAAGCCTCGGCTGCGCATGCTCATCGCGCTGCGAAGCAGCCCGCCTAAATTGCTCCGTTCGCCGGGGCCTCTGTCGTGGCTGTTCGCAGCGATCGAAAGGTGGACGATGTCGTTGTTGGTTCCCTTCAGGTTGCGTCGGGCCATGTCTCCCCCCTCCTGAACGGCGCCCTGGCGCGCCTCATTGGCCTGGGCCCAGTCCCATCCTGCCTGGCTGGCACCCGGCCACTGGCCGTCGCGGTCTAGCGCCTCCGCGCGCGGTGTCCACGCGCCCTCATCAGGTTCTGAATCGGCCCTGGGTGCGTCGATGGCGCGCGTCGTCGGGGCGGCGTGCTCGGGGCGCCGAGCGGCGGAGTCGAGGCCCCGTCGCCGCGGCGGCGCGCAGCGAGACAACACCCGCGCACCTGGCCTGCGTTGGCCTCCAAAGCGGAGTAAGGAGGCCAGCGGCTGCCCCGCGCGCCTCCGTGGAGCCGCGCCCTTGAACGCGGCGGCTTCCTCGCCGAGGCGGGTCTTCCAGCGTGTCGGGGCGGGGGCGGGGTTATCCCGCGCGCCGGTGGCGCGCGCGGCAGTGTCTACTGGGGCTCTCCGTGCTCAAATCGACATAAACGATGTGCTCGCTGATCGCCCCCTGGGACCTATCTGCGCTGGCAAAGTGACTCGAGGACGTTGTGTTTCTCCGCGTCCAGCAGCCGATGTGACTCGCCTCTTTGATGTCGCACCTATTGCGAACGTGACCGCTCGCGGCCGCCTGTGCGCGGGCGTTGGCCCCTGGCCCAATTTGCACAGATCGGCCCTGCAGGCGGAGCCTCAAAGCAGCTCCTTCCAGGGCGCTCCGCTGAAATAGCGACCCCCCCATCGGCCCGAGCTCCTGCCCAGACCTGGGCGAGAGGCGTCGGGCGATGAGAGGGGGGGCCTGGGGGGGCCCTCCGTCTCCGCCACGTGGAAATCCTGGAGCGCCCCCAGAAATTCCTCGAGCTTGTCGTCGCGACCGCGCTCTGCCAGGAAGCTGTCCAGGATCATCGCCTCGTGGCGGCAGGGGCCAAGGCGTCGGCTGTCCTTGACGCGCTGCAGCCATAGGTCATCCAGCTCACCGCGTCGTTGCCCGTTCTGTCTCGCGCGCCTGCTCCAATTGGTCGTCCGCCCATAGGCGCCCGCCCTGATCCGCGCGCGCGTCGGACCCAGAAGATCAGAGAGTTCAGCGCGTGGAGCGACGGGTCGGAGAAACGCTGCGCTGGCGTGCAGCCGCGCCGACAGAGTCGTTTCCAAGACCTGGCGTGGCACGCGGCGAGCCATGATCAGGTCAAGCGTGGCCATGTGCTCCCGCGGCATCGACAAACGATGTCCTGGGACAGCGTACATTGCGCAACTCACCAAACTCCGCCATATTCCGACTGGCCCCTGCAACCCTGCCTCGCGCGCTGCGGTTGCCAAGGAGGAGCCTTCAATGTACATCTGGGTTGCACTCTCAACTGTTTGGCAAATTCTGCCGCGCCGCAGCGCTTCCATGGCATCGTCTAGTGCGCCATGGGGGAGGGCCAGGGCCTCCAGATCGTCCTCTAGCACGAAGCGCCCGCCACGCCGGGGGTCGAGATCAATCTGCCAGCCCCCCCCGTCGGGCAAGCGGGCGCTGCAGTGGGGGCCCGCTGCGTGCCGGCCCGCGACCGCGCGTTGCAGTTGCCCGCCCAAAACGACCCAACTCCGTGCGATGTTGCTGGGTATACGCCCAGTTAATCGCATGCGGATCTGGGGCGCCCTGTCGCGGCCTTTAGCGAGTAAGGGTTCGCCCCGAGAGGGCAGGGCAATTGGTTGCGTTTCCCGTGGCCGTCCACGCGCGTTGCCTTCCATGCGGGGGCGAAGATTTCCGCGTCACGCACAGCCTTGGAAATGCGTTCACTCGGACTTGGTTGGACAGGACACTTGAGAGGACACAAGACCCTTCCGAAGGCCACATTGCCACAGGAATGTAAGAGGCATCGGTCGCGAGACACAGGTCACGCGAGCACCCTTGGTTTGGCAGGGTCGACCTACTCATCCGGGCCGACTATAAGTGCACTGTTGTTCTGCGTGGGACTGTTCTTACTGGTCCTTGTTACTGGTGCCTGGCGTAGGTCCCGTGCCGCGCGCGTATCCAATTTTTTTCGAATAATTCCGAAACCTGATCCTTTGCGTGGTTTAGCGGCCGAAGCCAGTGTAATCCATCGGCGTGTCGATCGGGTCATCCGCATTCCCCAGGTAGGGAGTGGCCACTACCATCCAGTTGAGCTTGTAGAAAGAACAGAATAATGGTATGGGTCTGTACTGGTGTTTGGGGGCAGGTGCAGCGCAGCGCTTTTGACCCTCTTGTTCCACTTGTAGGACTTCCGGTCGTTCCTTTAAGGTTGGTCGCCGCGGCACCTCGGATCGAGCCTTGGCACACAGACCTCGAAAAGGTACAGGACTCGGGGCCTCGTACAGGGCAGGTAGCACTACAAAATCTGGGAGACTGACTACATTGGCGCTTTCCTGCCAACGCACTGTCTGGATGCCCCGGGCTAATGCGCACACCTTCAGTGAAGTTCCCCCTGCGCTCCCACCTGACCTCTCAAGTTCCACCGCGCCTGCGCACTCAGCATCCTTTCCTGCCGCTGCGATCCGTGGATGCGCGCGAGCAGCTTCGTGTAGCACCTGCATATCGCGAGGCGTGAGTTGTGCCTCCACCGCAGAGATTATCGCAGCTGCCAGTTCAACCTTGTAACCAAATCTAAAGGATACGATTCCTGCAGAAGGAGGATTAGATTGGGAAGCCGCGCCTCCTTCCTGCGCTTGTCAATTTCACGGGCTGCCCGTGCACGTCCCCATGTGCAACGTCTGCGTTGCCAAAGCCGTGTTCGCTCCCGACCAGTTTTGTGTGAAGCTTGCACCGGCGGCATCCCTGCCAACTCATGGGATGCCACACAAACGCACACACACACACACACGCACACGCACACCATGTCAAATAGTATCCGTTCCCGCACCTTATCCTGTTCCTTCGCTCCCCCTCTTCCTCATCGCTCTTCGAGAGGGCCCAGGGAGGAGGGGTAAAAGGTGCGAGCTGGGCACGGGCACAAGGGGGGAAAGAAAGGGAAGGATTAGAGAAAGCGGGGGAGAAGAAAGGGGGAGAGGAAGGTATATGGATGGAAGATTTAGCTCGTGTCGTTCTCGAGTCAGCAGTAGCAGCGGCAGCGCCGACGAAGGGCGATGCATTGCTGCGCCAGTTGTTGATGCGACTGCGTGTTTTGGCAAAGAGGAACCGACCCAGGACGGTACCAGTAAGATCTGGGCACACGCCCACCAGACAAATGATTTGAATATGCTAGCTCGCATGGTTTCGCAGATCGTATGCATAACTTTTCCCCCGTGGTCGTTACGACCCCCCCCCCGAGAATAATCCGACTGCCCTGTCACTCATACCCCCAAGTAGTTAGTTTCCATAAATGATCACGGTCTCGATTGCGTCGATACGTACCCTGGGACGTAGATGACTGGCTCAAACGCGCAATCACTACACAGCGAAGCAACTCGACTGAACGAGCAATCGCGCAACGATTTTTTCCATGACACACAGCCCCCACCATGTGCTAACACGCCCCAGCCAGCACAGTGAAAAGACAGACGAGCTGCTACTACACATTGTCGCCCCCACAACAGCGCTGAGCAAGTCTGATGCCAGCGGACCCAATCGAAACGTGTCAGTGGGGATATATGCAACATGAGGGAGGAGCAACACGGCGGAAGACCTGGGCTGGGAAAAAACACCAACGCGTTTTGGGCCGGAATGCCTTGGCCCAATCGGTCATTTTTACATCCCATACAAGGGCAGAAAAAAACGGGGAGGGGGAGGGGGAGGGGGAGAAGAGCGAGAGAGAGGGAGCGAGAGAACAGGGAACGACAGCCGGACGAGCGTCCGAAGAAAGACAATCTCGCGCGCTTAGACCGCATCCCGTGAACATTGCCGGAGGGGATACTCCCACCTGCAGAAAAACCTCGCGAGCCTACCGTGTGAAGCAGGGCCGCCCACGCAGCAGGAAGGGGTCCAGTCAAACGGGCGCAACGCAGAAGAGCACGAAGAAGGAAAATAGTAATGATACGACTACTGCGAATAATAACCATATTACAAGTAATAATCATAATACAAATATTAATCATCATCACCATCATGATCATAAGAACAGAAAGGAGCAGGAGGGAAGATACGAACTGCCTGTAAAATACAACAAATAATGTGGAGCCAGACTGGGAGGGCGCAGGGGACGGGAAGCTCTGACAGCAAACGAACCGTTCATGACGCCTGCAAGCGGTGGGCGTCGCCCCGAGGAACGGGGGCCAGCGCCAGTGGAGACAGAAAACGAAAGTCTCACATGCAATGCAGAGCTGTGGCCGAAGGAAGGGCGGAGGATCGAGGGCGAGAAGGAGAAACTCCAATGCAGCTCGCACCGGGTGGACCCTGGCAGCAATACCCTATGATTAGCGCAGCGGCGGGGGCCTCTGTGGCAGGTGCGGGAGGCGCATGCGAGAAGCAATCGCCCCAAGAAGTGGTAATGCAAAGCCGACTAAACACAATATTTACGCACGAAGATTGGTCCCACAAGCCCAGGGGAATATGGATCCGTGCGCTTATCAACTAACTTGACCCGTCGTGGACATGCAAATCAAGGGCGGACTCGCGAAGACAACCGCGATGGTTTCGAGGACAGGCTCGCAACGGCCAGCGCAAGCAAGTTTGACGGCACCACACCGCGCAGAAGAGACACACACTTTTTGGTCGGCGGGGCGAGAGCGAACCTCTTCCGCTAAAAGCTAGGCGGGCTACGCACCAGAAGAGACACACACAGCTGACTTAGGAATGACACGCAATAGCAAATCCATCACGCATTCATTCGAGGAAGAACCAGCTGGACACATATAAGCTGTCGAGCGTCCGCGAAATGTTGTTGGATCGGCGCTGGACCCCCTCTCTGGCGCGCGAAACGCGCCAGGGGCAGCGCTGGAGGCGCCGCCAGGGAGGGCCCAGCCGCCGATCCAAGAGACCCGCGAGGAGCTCCGAGAGATTCTGTTCACTTATGCAGCTTTTGCTGCTCTAGAAAAACGCGCTGATGTTGAACTACGCAGCTTTTTTGAACGAATCAGCTCGAGGCACGGTCGTACCAATGGCACACGCGAACGAGGAGAAGGCACCGAAGCTGTACCCATGTCAGGGAGACGTGACACTCTGGCTCAGGGGGGCTCAGCGGGGCCGACGCGAACTCTCGCTGCAAAGACTCCACGGAAACTGAACAATCATAATCTAGGACGAGCTCGTCAAAAGCGTCGGCAAACCAGAACTCGGGCGAACTCGAGTCATCCGTTCCCACTCGGACCGCTACCACCCTTCCTGCTGGCCGGAGCAAGGGAACAAGGGCTGGGCTACCTCAGACCCCCAGCCGGCTCCAATCCCCAACCATCCTCTCCGTCCCTCAGGTTCCTGTCGTGTCGACGCCGGCGCTGACTCCTGACACTGCGGGGATCGTTCAACCTTAAGATATCGGCCACTTCCGAGCGTCAGATCGTTCAACATCGACTGGCTCGCTGGCGGTGCTCACCGTTGAACGCTGGCGACAGGGTCGCCGCCAATCGACACGGAGCGAGCCCACCGTACACGGGTCGATCGCAGCGAAGCGAGGAGGAGGCACCCGAGAGCGTGCCGCAGCGGGTGCGGCACCGAGGCCCGCTCCTCCGCCGCCCTGGCCGGCAACTGCTGCGAGGGCTCGGCGGCCATGAGCCGGCGCGCCTCCTGGTGCAGCGGCGGCGGGTACAGCTGCATCTCGCGCTCCCAGGCCTCGGCAGTAATGACGAAGGGAGGGAGGAGGGGAGGGATGGAGACACAGGCCCCCTGGGGTCATGAACCACTCACGGCGGACAATGATGGACGTCTCCTCGCCCTTCCTCCCTCTTCCTCCTCCTGCCCTCCTCCCTTTTCCTCATCCTCCCTCCCCCTCCGCTCAGAGGGGAAGGGGGGAGACAAGTGCAAACCCAGAGCGCATCAACGATCTTACAATGAACCCTGCCACCGAATTCTCTCTCTTCACAGATTCCTGCAATAGTTGGTGTTCATTGCTGGGAGTGCCCCTTTGGAATACCATCGTCTGAAAATCCTCGCTCGCGCCAGATCACCATTCCTGGGATTCCACCACCGCGAGTGACGGTGAATTGCTGCGCCCTGAAAACCTGAGTCGACTGAGGACAGAATCCCTGGGACGCCCAACTCACGAATCCTTCAACCTGCTGCGAACTGCTAGGACGAATCTGCGCGGCGCGACGACGAGAGCCACATCTTGAAACCGACGCCCCCTCCATCCTTGAAGCTGGTGCAAGCTTTGCGGGCGAATCTGAGCGGCGCTACGGCGAGAACCACATTTCGGAACGGGCACGCCCTCAATCCTTGAAGCTGTTGCAAGCTTTGAAGACGAATGTGCGTGGCACTACGGCCGAAACCACATCTTCAGAACGGGTTCAATCCGTGAAACTGCTGCGAGGTTGTAAAACGAATGTGTGCGGCGCTAAAGCGGACGCCACGATTTGAAAACGGGCCGCCCTACAACCTTGAAGCTGTTGCAAATTTCGCGCTTCAAATTCACACATGGTGAGGAAGTCAAAAGCGAAACGCCCGCCCAACCTACCATCACGCCTGAGGGTACGAGAGCGACGAGTTATTGATATGGTAACCGGAAGATGAAGAAAGGAAGGGGGACGAGGACGATGGGCGGAGGAGGAGGCGGAAAGAGGGCGGAGGGAGAAGAAAGGCCCCCCCCCCCGAAAATTGGACGCCCGAAGTGGGTACAGAGAACATGGGTGGAATGCCCCGAAGGAACAGGAACAGTTGTCGGCCTTCGTGCCCTGGAGGCCTCCTAGATGGGGTCCGAGTAGCTGGGGTCGAGGGATCGCGCCGCATCGCAAATGCATCGCCGTGGTATCGGCGATGCATCGCCGATGCATCAGAGACGTCGGCGATGTATCGGCGACGTCGGCGTGGGCACATCGGGCTCCACATCAAGCCGCATCGTCGATGTATCCGCGACGCATCGGCGATACATCGCGATCCTCCGGTCCCATCAACTCCGACCCCATCTGAGAGGCCTAGATGCCCATCCTCCGTGTACCCATCTCGATCGCACCCGCTCCTCCTCCTCCTCCCTCCTCCTCCCCCCTCCTCCTCCTCCTCCTCCTCCTCCTCCTCCTCCTCCTCCTCCTCCTCCTCCTCCTCCTCCCTCCTCCTCCTCCTCCTCCTCCTCCTCCTCCTCCTCCTCCTCCTCCTCCTCCTCCTCCTCCTCCTCCTCCTCCTCCTCCTCCCTCCTCCTCCCTCCTCCTCCCTCCTCCTCCTCCTCCTCCCTCCCTCCTCCTCCTCCTCCTCTCCTCCTCCTCCTCCCCTCCTCCTCCTCCTCCTCCTCCTCTCCTCCTCCCTCCTCCTCCTCCCTCCTCCTCCTCCCTCATCCTCCTCCTCCTCCTCGGCGAAAGAGGCCGACGGCGGCTGGCCTCCTCTGCCTCCCGCCGCGCGTCGGCGGCCCGGCGCGCGCGCGCGGCGGCCCTCTGCTGCTGCAGGGCGCGGGCCCCGGCGGCGATCTCCTGGGGGGCGGGCCGCCCCGGCCACATGGGGCAGCGGGGAGGGTCCTCGATGCGCGATGCTCGATGCTCGATCCTCCTCCTCCTCCTCCTGCTCCTGCTCCTCCTCCTCCTCCTCCTGCTCCTCCTCTTCTTCCTTCTCCTCCTCCCTCCTCCTCCTCCGCTGCTGCTGGGCGCGCTGCCTCTGGGCGGTCGTTCCGCCGCCTCCTCGACCCCCCTCGCCTCGTCTGCCTTCTGCGCCTTCGCCTTCGCCTCCGCTGCCGCGCCTGGCCGCTCCCTCCTCCTGCGAACCGAGCATTACAGTGGCAATGGGGATTGAATGATGTCTTTGCTGGGGTTCACGGCAGACGCTAAACTACAAGACGATGTCACGCCGCCTGACGGCGACGGCGGTTACAAGTCCTTGAGCCGAATGCTACGGACGTGCGCCGTTCCCTGAAGGGCTAAATGGGAACACCCACCTCGACCTGATGGCCCAAAATCGTGTAAAACACGTACGACCTTGTATACATTCGCCTGCTGCGAGCGGAACCTGGAGCAAATTCGACGGTACAAAAGGTGTGACGCAATGAGCAACGGAAATGTGATAAAGCTCATGCGTAACTTGAGATTGTATGCAGCGAATACACACGAATGATAGCAGGCGCATAACTAGCGCAGAGCAGAGCAAATGCAGCATGACAACGCAACAAAAAGGTGTTGAGATCATGGCGGGATTCCCGCTCGATTTGCATTCGTCCCAGCTGCCGCCTGCATTGCAAGTTCATCAAAACTAAGATGGGTTGAAGAAAACTCGGTAAACTTTGGAGATACCAGAGGCAGGTTGACATACCACTGGCTACTCATGCTCATTTACCTGGGCCTTCTTGAACTTGACCTCGGCCTCTCACCCTTGCCGCTGGCCTCGGCTTTCTGCATCATCTCGCGTTCACGGAACGTCATCGGTTCCATCATCTGGCGGTGGTCACTATCCATCATGAACTCGTCATTCTCCATGGCGTGAGCCTCCTCGTCACTATCGGGCCAGGATACCAACCTCTACTCGACGTCGGCCTTGGGGTACATCTTCGCCGCCCTGCGCCTGATTCCGTCAAAACCCCTGACGGCCTTCCAGTGCATAATCTGGGTGACGAAGGTGAAGCGTGACTCACTCGCGGTGCAGGTCCAGACGCCCCGTGTCATAGTTGGCGCCCGCGTGAGGTTCCACCACCCGAATCTGGTTTGCGACCCACATGTCGTGATCCCTTGCTGGCAGCCGGGACTGCTAAATAATAATTTCGTCGTTGAATCCCAGAGCGCAGTGAGATGCCGAGAGCTGCGCGACGCTTGTGGATATGGCTTTAGCCCGACTGCGCTGCGGAAGCACGGAATGAAAAACCATTCCCTGAGTACGGGGGAGTCCAGGAGGACGGCGTAGAGAACGAGGGGGGCGGTTTGGAGGTCGGAAAAAAAGGGAGAATGACGGTGGCGAAGCCGAGGGCTGAACGGGAAGGAGGAACAGGAGCAGAAGGAAAACTGGAGTCCTTGAAAAGGAATAATACACAAAAAGGAGGGGCATCCGTGCCCCTCGTCCACGTGTGCCCCTCCTGGTGGCCTCCTGCGCATCCTGCCACCGAGCCTGGGTTATTGGTGTGAGAATTCATGAATGCCTGTTCGCGTCTCTGGGGAAAACCTGTGGGCAGCTTGTTGTAAACAATGGTGAAGCCTGTTGCGACGCTTTTCGGGGACTCTTGTGGCCCTTTTGGGTCCTCTCGGGGGGGGGATCCTTGGGGGCCTGCTGGCGATCTTCGGGGTCCTGTTGGGGCCGAGGCCTCGAAATATGGGTTCGCATCTCCCCCCCACGAGTCCCTCTTGGGGCCTTCTTGGGCGATCGATGGGTGCCTCTTGGGCCGTCTTGGGGCCCTCTTGGGCCGTCTTGGGGCCCTCTGGGGGACCTCTTCGGCAGTTGGGGGACTCTCCTAAGGGCCTCTGGCCCCGTCTTGGACGCTGGGCACATGAAAACAACGATGGCGATAAGAATGTGCGCTTTCCCACGGGAGCGGGGTGACATTGCCTCTTCGGGTTCTCTTGAGCCGTCTTGGAGCATCCTGGGGGCCGGATGGCGATCTGGAGCTCTCCTGTGCTGCTTGAAGCTCTCTTCAGGCCGTCTTGGGGCCCTACTGGGGGCCTCTTGGGCCGTGAAGGGCCGGTTTTGGGGAGCCTTTGGGGCCGTCGAGGCCGCTGTTAGATTGAAAACCGAATCCGCCGATCCAGCGTGTGGGTTTAAGGGGGAGGGGGTGACCGGGGTGGCTCTGCCGGGGAGAAGGGGGGGGGGGTCCGGTAGCGTGGGTTTTGGTGGCGTGGGGGGTAATTAGGGGTCCGTTCCCCCGCCCCGCCTGTGGACGGGGGGAATTGGGGAAGTGGGGGGGGGAAGGGGGGGGGGTCCAGTGGCCGGGGTGGCTCTGCCGGGGTGGGGGGAGGGGGGGCGGAGGGTTCTGGTGGCGTGGGTTCCGATGGCGTGGGGGGGAGGGGTCCGATCCCCCGTCCCGCCTGTGGACAAGGGTAATTTGGGAAGAGGGGGGGGGGTCTGGTGGCCGGGGTGTGGCCGGGGTGGCTCTGCCGGGGTAGGGGGGGTCCCGGGGCGTGGGTTCCTAAGGGGAATTGGGGGAAGAGGGGGGGGGTCCGGTGGCGTGGGTTCGGTGGCGTGGGGGAGGGGAAGGGGGGTTCCGTGGCGTGTGAGTTTGCAGGAACTTCAGCTATAGCCTCGAAGCTGATCTTCAGCCTCTGGAGGGGTTGCCGGGGTGGCTCTGCCGAGGAAGGGGGGGAGGAGGGGGCGTGCGCGTGTGCGCGGGGAAATGTTTTTTCTGCGTACGCGAGAAGGGAATCGGGGAAAGAGGGAAAGAGAATTGTTGACGCTTCGCGTATCCCCACCAGCCCATCCAGAAACGATGCTCAGGGGAGTTAAGGTGATCAGGGAAGTCGGGGAGCATGCAGAATAACAAAGGGCGGGGGAAGCTGTCACAGACCCCGAGAGGGGGAGGATGGAAGAGGAGTCGTCGTCGTCGTCGTCGTCGAGGAGGAGGAGGAGGGGGAAGAGGAGGAGGAGGAGGAGGAGGAGGAGAACGGAGAAGGAGGAAGAATCGGAGGAGGAGGAGGAGGAGGGGAAGGAGCTTCTTGGGGGTCTTTTGAGGGCCTCTTGGAGGGCTTTTTGGGCGCCTTGGGGCATCTTGGGCGCCTCTTGGGACCCTCTTGAGGCGCTCTGGGGAGCCTTCGGGGCGCTTTTGGGGCCATCTTGGAGGGAGTCGATCAAACAAGAGGGGGGGTTTAATTAGCGTCCCCCCTCGGAAGCCCCTAAAATCGCCTCTTGGACCCCTCTTGGAACGCTCTTGGAGTGCTCTTGGGCGCTCTTGGGGCCGTCTTGGGGCTCTTTTGGGGCTCTCTTGGGGCCCTCTTGGGCCATCTTGGAGCCATCTCCAGGCCTCGGATGGCCATCGGAAGCGAAAAGGCGAGAAAGCAAAAATCATTGATTTTCCTTAGGTTTTGGGACGATTTTGGCCTCTTCGGGGCCTCCTTGGGGAGCTGTTTGGCCACTTGGAGTTATCTTGGGGCCGTCTTTGGGCTTCTTGGAACCATCTTAGGAGCCATCGTGAGCGATCTTGCGCTATCTTGAGCCATCTTGGAGCTCATCTTGGGTTCTCTGAGGCGCTCTTGGAGCCGTCTTGGGCCATCTTGGACGCTCTAACTACCCGCGGCCCCCCCCGTCCAGGTCCAGGGGAGGGGGTAGGGGGAGGGGTAAACCCCTCCCCAAGGGGGAAGAGGGAGGGGTGGAAGAGGATCTGCTCTAGACCACCTACGCCCAGAGGGCTGGTGGGATTTGAACGGGACAAGAGCGGAAAACGGGGAACAAATGGGGGGGATGACGAAGGTGGCGGTGAAATCCCACCAGCCCTCTGGGCGTAGGTGGTCTAGAGCAGATCCTCTTCCACCCCTCCCTCTTCCCCCTTGGGGAGGGCCCTCCCCCTACCCCCCCCCTTTGGACGGGGGGGCCGCGGGGTTGGACCTGGACGGGGGGGGCCGCGGGTAGTTAGAGCGTCCCAGATGGCCCAAGACGGCTCCAAGAGCGCCTCAGAGAACCCAAGATGAGCTCCAAGATGGCTCAAGATAGCGCAAGATCGCTCGAGATGGCTCCTAAGATGGTTCCAAGAAGCCCAAAGACGGCCCCAAGATAACTCCAAGTGGCCAAACAGCTCCCCAAGGAGGCCCCGAAGAGGCCAAAATCGTCCCAAAACCTAAGGAAAATCAATGATTTTTGCTTTCTCGCCTTTTCGCTTCCGATGGCCATCCGAGGCCTGGAGATGGTTCCAAGATGGCCCAAGAGGGCCCCAAGAGAGCCCCAAAAGAGCCCCAAGACGGCCCCAAGAGCGCCCAAGAGCACTCCAAGAGCGTTCCAAGAGGGGTCCAAGAGGCGATTTTAGGGGCTTCCGAGGGGGGACGCTAATTAAACCCCCCCTCTTGTTTGATCGATCTCCTCCAAGATGGCCCCAAGAAGCGCCCAGGAAGCCCCAAGAGGTCCCAAGATGGCCCCAAAATGGCCCCAAGAGGCCCCCAAGAGGCCCCCCGGAGGCCCCCAAGAGACCCCCAAGAGGCCCCAAGAGCCCCCCCAGATGCACCCAAGATGCTCCAAGAGGCCTCGGCGAGAATGCCTAATCATTGATTCTACACAGGTTTTAGCCACATGGAGGCCTCTTGGGGGGGGGCACGGATTAAGATGACTCCAAGAGCGTCTGGGAGAGCCCAAAATGACCTCCAAGATGGCTCAAGATATCCCAAGATGTCTCATAATGGCTTCCTCTGTGTGCTGCCCACTTCTCTGATCGAGGCAATTCCTCTGGGCATCGTTTCTGGATGGGCTGGTGGGGATTCGCGAAGCGACAACAATTCGTGTCTGTTGTGTGGTGTGTGTGTGTGCTTGTGTGTGTGCCTGTGTGTGTGTGAATGTGTGTGTATGTTTGTGCGGTGTGCGT